CCTGCTGCTGAGGTAAGAGGCGTAATGGTTCAAATATGACTCCTCCAAATGGAGCCTCTCACTCCAAACAGCCTCAATTTAACGAGAGAGAAACATCTCATTCCTCCCATTTAACTCAGCATGTTCCTCAAGGGCTAAAGGAGACCCATACTGGGGTGGAGGTTTAGCTTACGCCTGCCCTTCCTCATCTTCCTCATCCTCTCGGTCATAGAGACAGTAATAATCTTTTTCATGTACACATACCACGGGTTTACAAACACGACAACACACGCTATGTCTCTCTGGAGCAATATACTGCTGTGCATATTATGGATATTTTTATGAAAAACATATACCCCAGATTATCAAATCATACAGCAGGGGGTCTATAATACCTGTCATCCATTCCTGTTTCTCTCAGTGGTAGATGCTAGTCGGTGGCAATGGACTTGAAGTCGGCCATCTTTGATCCTCATGGGAGCACATCATTTTTGAGCCAAATTCACCTAAACCTGCAAGAAATGACATCATGAAAATCCCAATTGATTTCCGGCACCACAAGAACATTCTCCTGAAAAGAAAAGAACACAACAGTCATTTTAAAATGAAATAATATTTGAACAAATTACTCTGATCAAAAAAAAGCCTTGGTGAGCATAAGAGACTTCTTTCTAAATCATTAAAAAAACCTTACCAACCCCAAACTTTTGAAAGGTAATACATGTTGCTTGAATACAATTATATTTGGCTCTAGTTGAATTGTTGTCAAAGGAGAAAGATGTATTTGGATCCAGCCAAACTACTCTTTGTTTTACCCACACACTCACAGAACACACACCGTCTCCATCAAGCTCTCGCACATTACTATTACGCTCCAGCTTTAGCCGTATCCCATTGCAATGAAAAACCCATCAGGAGCCTACACACTAATAGTCATAAGCTGTTTATTTGTGAAAAATATCCTTTTAATTGGTGTTAAGCATTGTCTTTGAAAAAGCCTTTCCAATGTTTCCAAATTTGACTGCACGTCTATCCTGCTGGGGAACAGAAAGTGCTGGAAAAAACGGAGATCAGCACTCATTAAAAGCTCATTAAAAGCGCAATGCATCATTTCAGTTTCAATTTTAATTGACAATTAAAATATATAAGTTAACGTAACCATTATACTAATTAAACAGCATTGAGGTAATTCTCTTTCACTGTGGCATTTGATGGTTAATGCATATATCTAATGGGTTCTGTCAAAATGCTCAATCATCTTTTTGCTGTTTCACATTTTACACAGTTTATGCGCATCGATCATCTTGCTTTATGCCAAAATTCACGTAAACGGCACACTCTGAATGCTTATGACAGAACAACACAAAATATAAATCACACTTCTATAGATCAAACATGACATGAAACATTCTCAGAATAGGTATGATGCAGATAGCAGAGTGCTGACTTTCCCATGAAACATTCTTTGTGATTCAATAACCCAATAATAAATTCATGAGGCAGACCTGACTATAACCCTCTCCGGTACCTAAGCTGTTGTCTATTGTAGGTAACCCTGGCTGTGCTGAAGAGATTGTGTTTGTGTGCGCTTTGCATTCATTTGCTGTCTCTGCGTGGGTATATGATCTGGTTGCGTGAACAGAATTTTATATTCTGCGTGTAGGTGTGTATACCATATATGCATGCCCAAATACAGTATACAGTACTGAGTATATTTATACTCGTGTATAGGTATCGTTTTTTAAGTGCAAAAAAAATGCATGGGTTGTCAGAACAACTATTTAGCTCTACTGAAGCCCCAACACACTTTGCATGTTCAAAAACACAGCTGCAAAAATGACAGATTGAAACAACAGAATCTCAAGAATCTTAAAAGACATTTTTAACCTGAACTATTTGTAACTTGATACACTGTCTTGAGATAGAATGCTGAAAAACACTGCAATAGATGCCCAGTCTTTTCATAGACTAACATTTAAAAAATAACAGACTAAATGTTGGAACATAGTCCTTCTATATATATATTGAACTAATAAACAAGCGAAATATTAGGTCAGATTGATGAAATTCTGATTCACTAGCTCTCTATTAAAAATGAATTCTTATTTATAATGGGGTTGTTTCAGTAATAATGTTAATTTTGCTTACATATATACTGATAACTAGGAAACCTTCTAATATGATACATTAAACACAACCAAAAACTACTCTGAAGATTTTAACTAGTAAACTTTAAATTGCATTTCTTCTCTGAAACTGTTATTAAAACAATAGTTTCAGTTGCAAACTCATAAGAGTATAAAAACTCTCTGAATGCATCTACAAATGTCTAAATCAAAACATTTCAAGTAAAAATTCACATGAAAGTGTAAACAAAGGTTCTTTTAAAGTATCGCAGTAATGATTGAACTTCAGTGCCGGTTTTAGTGTGCTGATAATTATTGTGCGATTTTAGCACGGTAATACTCTCCCTGCGGAGTTGCCTCTCATTATTCAATCCCTTTAAAGCATCACTACTAAAATATTAAAAACAGTAGATAAACTAGTCAACCTTGCTAATCAGTAGTCTGTTATTGGACAACTAGTCGACTATCTAGTATGTCTGTATGTCCATAAGCAGTTTGAAGTTTGTTTTATGACATAGTACTGTAGCTGTGTGTGTGTGTGTAGTATTACATGTTTTCTTTGCGATTGTGCCTCTGCAGTTTGTTAGAGAGCACAGATGAGATATGAGATATTTAATAGAGATCAGTTTAAGGTTCTGTTAATGTGTCTGTTTGTGGGGAAATTAAATTAGCTAAATAATTGCCTTGCCAAAAAAGGGCCTTAGAGATTGTCAAAACAACTCGCAGCTTCCTAAAGAAGGGTGATTTTATTCTTTGTATTTGTATATGCCATGGACTACAAAGTCTAATAATGAAATTATGCACTTAAATTAATAATGAATGAACTCACTAAGGGGTTCTTCTTTTAATTTTCTTAAAATATTAAGAATATGACTCCACAACAAACCTCGTAACCCAAGTGTACGTGTGCGCGCTAGTGCTTTTTTCTTAGCAAACAGCCTGATCCCCCACTGAGATCTCCACTGTCGCACTGCTGTGCGATGGAGAAGGGATGTGTGTCATGTGTGTGTGTGTGTGTGTTATACTGGTGGGAGAAATCCCTTGACTGAAGCGGCCTTGGTCGGCCTCACCTTATCCTCGGGCAGGAACTCCAAAGGAGGCAAGAACAACTGCTAGCGACGTTATGGAAATGCCATCAGGCAAAGGGGCATTACAAAACAGATTGTTTTATGAACCCATTATTGTACACTCAAACACACAATCATGCAAACACACGCATCCACCCACACGCACAAATACACACAATGAAAATGGCATTACGGGGCATGCCAACGTGGGGCCAAACGCTCTGGGCCACAAAGGAAGGAGGCTGAGATGGTGAAGACAGAGAAAAACAAATGGAGAGGTTAGGCAGAGTCAGTGTCTTTCTTCTCTCTGGTGTGTTCTCCGAATGTATCATTATCCAGAGCTGAAGTTCTGCATGACAGCACTTTGGAAACACACTTCATTTACACTAACCTTTTACTTTTCTATTTTCTCTCTCTCTCACACACACACACACACACACACACTGGGTTTCCAAGTTTTATGGGGACTTTCAGACTAAATTATTTTATGCTGTACAAATCTTACTACTGTACTATTCTGTTCCCTAAACCTGCCACCACAGAAAATGTTCTTAAAAAAACATCACTAAGTATGATTTATCAGCTGTTTTCCTCATGGGGACTAAAAAAAAATTCAGCCAACAGCCAATATCAATATGCATGCCAATAAGCAACTAGTTAATAGTGAGAACTGGACCATAAACTAAAGTTTTACCAAAACAATTATATATTACATCAACAATTACACTACTGTTCAAAAGTTTGGGGTCAGCAATATTGTTTTATGTTTTTGAAAGGAGTCTCCTATGCTCACCGATAATACAGTAAAAACAGCCAAATTGGGAAATATTATTACAACTGAAATATGTAAAATGTCATTTATTCTTGGCAAAGCTGAATTTTCAGCATCATTACTTCGGTCTTCAGTTACGGGGTCCTACAAAAATCATTCTAATACACTGATTTGGGGCTCAAGAAACATTTCTTATTACTATCAATGTAGTAAATAATGAGTTGTTAACCTTTTTTGAGGGATATTTTCCCCTTCTTAAAAAAAAAATAAAAAAAATAAAACGTACCTTTTGTCATATTAAAAATGGCTTTACTGTCACTTTTGATCACCTGAGCAATAAAATATTGTCTTGGATCACAGTGTCAGGCTTTGAATAGTGCCTCTTCTAAGTCTTAATGAATGACAGAGGGATTGGTAATCCTCTATAATCCAGAGAGAAAGAGATAGAGGCATGCTGTTTGAAGCGAGGGCAGCAAGAAGTTCTCACCCCCCACGGTATCTGGCGTGCTTTAGCTTATGTTTGTTTGGCGCAGGGTGTAACACTCTTACGCATTTATGATTCACTTTGTGTGTACACTGTGGACTTAGCGCTGTCTGTTTCCATTAATGAGGATAAGTGCAGCGCTGTTCTCGAGTTCCACTGCACTTGTGTGGCGAGATCTTTGAAGAACGAAAAGGAAAAAGAGGAAAAAAGCAGTACCACACAGGCCTTTAGCTGCAGGGTTTCTATTTAAGTCAAATAGCAGCTGATGTCTGCCTCGCCTTCAGAGGAGCAGACGACGGTTAGAAGAGGTTAAATCAAAATAATTCCACTGAAGACTCTGTCAGAGTCACTGCTAGTTAGGCTAATGCTAGCATACATTATGAATGATACATATATCATTAACCGTTAATGTCGTCTATTTCATAACGTATGCTATCTATAGCTATCACAGGACAAGTGATTGGCTTTCAAAGGAAGGGTGGTTAAAAGAAACGCTTTCACAATTTAATGTATTTTTAAAAATAATTTAATGCTTTAAGCTAAAATATGTATTTTCCTTTCCTTCACTACAGGGCAGAGTCTTGGCTATGGTTTCGTCAACTACATTGACCCAAAAGATGCAGAGAAAGCCATCAACACGTTAAATGGACTCAGACTTCAGACCAAAACTATTAAGGTACGTGACTACTACCATAAAGTCCAGTCTCACACATGTCAGGAATTTTTACAAAAGGTGCCTGTTTAAACACTATGATTATTATTTTTTTGTTTGTTTGTTTAAAGCATAAATCAGCTTCGCTATCACATTACATTTTAAAATATTTCACAATAGAAAAAATATAATAAATTGTGATATTTCATAATATTATAGCTTTTTTAAAATACATTTTATGAATTGCTATTGTACAGCTTACTATTAAAAGGTGCTATATGTGCTTTTTTTCAATTTATTTTTAAATTGATCAATTTAAACATTTTTATTGCCTGTGTGTAATCACACATTATAATGATTCACTTGTTGGGTTTTGCTATTACCTCTGAAGGCCAGTATTCCTATTTCTATGTGAAGTCTCCGGGTCGGATTTTCTGCGAAATTCATCGGATGTGACGTGAATGCGCGTTCCCGAGCCTCTCTCCTTTTTATTTACAGTCTATGCGATGGCACTGCAACTAAAGACATGGAGTTTGATAACACCAAAAAACTCCACATAAATATAAGCAAAACAAAAATGTGTCTGCTGAAGCTCGTCACGCCAAACGTAGAAATCGCATCGACTTAGGACGAAAAGAGCCGAGTTTTCAGATATGCTGAAATAATGGTAAACTGTAATGAAATAGCAAGGTAAACTACAACATATATGAGACATGAAACGAATACAAAAAGACTGTTTCGGAAAAAAAAAAAGTATGTGCTTTAGGATGTAACTTTTATTTTATGTCCTATATCTACTAAAATCACTCATCCCACTACTATCATATTGTTTATAACACACATTTCCAGACACATTCAGTACAGTAATGTTACTTCCTACGATCTCACTGTTACACTGAAATTGTTCATTCTAACACTAGTTCAGTAACCGTTTTCGTTGTCGTATTATACATTTTCCTATTTTGACATTGCTGATTGTGAAACATACATGAATAGTTAGTGAAATGCCTTATGCTAGATAACAACACAAATGTAACGTTATCATGGTACGAGTATGGAGCATTAGTTCAACGTCAAGCTGATGAAAATAGCCGTTAATTGTAACGGTGCAGGGGGAGTTTACATGAGTTTCCAGCATGTTGTGTGATGCTTTCTCCGGTGTGTTGAAAGTGTCAGTGTGGCCGGTACCATGAGTGCTCACTCTTTTGTTGTAAAAATTGGTTGCAATCTGAAACATCGCCAAAAGAGGCCGCTAAAAAAATACATATAGCACCTTTAATTAATGAAATAATATATTTTAAAAAATGCTGGGTTGTTTTAACCCAATTTTGAGTAAAATATGGACAAACCCAGCCATTGGGTTATATTTTTAAATTACATTTTTAACCCAATGGCTGGGTTTGTCCATATTTTACCCAAAATTGGGTTAAAACAACCCAGCATTTTTTAGAGAGTATGCTAAGGAATTAGTTGAACAGATGTATCACCACATTATTTTTGTATGATTCATGTAAGAAACATAAACCGTTGTATTGCGGCATTTCTGTATACATGTAGATCTCAGTGTTGGGATTAGCATTAGGGTACATGTTGTTAGGCTACTGCCTGCCTGTTGTTTACCAAACACTTTTTTTTTGTCAAAGCAACCCACATTACGCTAATTGCCATTCGCTCAAGGGCACAGAGTTGACAAGCTTGTCTCAGTACCTCTCCAGTTAACAGGTCACCCGCACCTGGGATTGAACCTATTTAAACGTAACAGATAACAGAGACGGTACCTCATGAGCTACATCTCATTTAGGTGGAAGCGCTCTCCCAGTCACCATTTCTCACGTCTGCGCCAGTCAATACGTTGAATGTTTCCTGTCACCGTTTGTGCCAGTGGAGCCGCAGTGATTAGAACATGTGGCGTACACTGCCTCGTGCTGGGCTGAGGCGTGGCGGCACAAAGAGAGAGGAGGGCAAATCTGACTCATTAAGATGCAGAAGGAAACAGGAAAGCAACTGAAGGAAGAAAAGGGAAAAATAGTGTAATTGATATGTAAATGAATCTCCAAATGTCAAATCATGAAGTCACACAAAAAGAGGGAAATAGCATGTATAATAGAGTAATGTGGACATGCTAAATAGACATCTAAAATATGTCTGGTTTCCACCGTAGAAAAACACATCATTCAATTCCATTCGATCATGTTTAATCGATATTTATTTTATTTTTGTCGATATTTTATTTTTTATTTTTGTCTTCTGATTTGTCAAATTTATTTCAATTTAGATCTGATCTGTCTTTTTGTATTGGTTTAATTAATTCCATTCTCTTTTGTCCTATTCTATGATGATGTCAGATTTTTACTATGGTTTTTGTTCTGATATTCCATTCTATTCAATTTCATTTTATTCTCTTATGACTGATTTTATCTATTATTTTCCATTCTACTCATTTCTGTTCTGTCATTAAATTAAATAATGGAACGAAATAGATTTACCACAATGTGATGGTTTCCATTTTCCTCAACAGTGCTTAATTTAGAAGCAGCAGCTGGTTTTAACAGTAAATTCTGACTGCTGCTTACGGCATAATCTGGCTGTGTGTGTGCTTTCATCTGGCCTATAATCCCAGACCTCTCACTTACATCCGCCCTAATCTAATCAGATTGGATTTCGCCTGTTTATGAAAACACGGCTCAGTCTGCGAGGCTCAGTACCTCTTAGCATAACAGCAAAAGAACGTGTGTGTGTGTGTGTGTGTGTTTGTGCATTTGCGTGTGGGAGCAAGAGAAAGAAAAAAAAAGAGAGGACAAAGAAAAGACTTGTCAGGGCTGTTTTTGAAAGAGCACAGCACAATACTCACAAACACGGGCGTTTTCCAGAGTGGCAGCATGTGTATGTGTTGGCCGGCAGTGTTTCTAGTACTGGTTTCAGCATCAGCTAAGAATCCATCAGAGACAGAATGACTCACTCTGTGTGTATTTGCTGATCATCACAGCTTCCTGCCACGCGGCACTTCTCTCAGTGACAAAACACACTTCCAAAGGAGGCAGCGGTACACACATACATAAACACCGCTAAAACACTGCACTTACTGGCCCAACACACCAGTCTTTTCACTCCCATCCTAGGGCTATGACTCTTGAGTTGGTCCTTTCAACTCCCACACCCCTTTAAGAGAAAAACTAAAAACTAAAAAAATCAAATGGCTTCTTTGTCCTGTGAATCAGTCAAAACCTCCTAAGTTTGAATCATTCTATAGAATAATTTACTCAATCCAGCAGTTACTGAATTAACATCTGACTCACTGAATTGCAGGGCATAATAGCTGTCATTCATCGATGACTCAAACTAAACCAACATTTTATGTGATTTTAACCCTATGTGAACCACATTAGGAAATGAGGATCGTGAGACTTCGGTACGATTGCTTACAGTTGAAGTTTCTCAAAAATGTTTAAATTGATTTAGCCACCATTTTATAAAAGCATTGGGAGTATTAAAATTTAGCTTTTTAAATATTAAAAAAATATGATTTAATATATTATTTAAAATACACTCTAAAAATTGCTGGGTTGTTTTAACCCAAACCTAAAATGTGGACAAACCAAGCCATTGGGTTACATTTTTTAATTACATTTTTAACCCAATGTTTTGGTTTGTCCATATTTGACCCAAAGTTGGGTTAAACAACCCAGCATTTTTAGAGTGTATTATTTTATTATACACATTAAGAATATTATGATATTAAAATTTTAAGACTGGTAGTAAGTTTAGTATTATGGTATTATGTTTTGAAATTTGATACTGATTTGTGCAAACAGATTTGGCCTAAAGGCACAATTTAGCCTAACACTACATTTTCAGCTGTCTGTTGTTGAGTTATGTCAAGTCAAGTCACATTTATTTATATAGCGCTTTTTACAATACAGATGGTTTCAATGCAGCTTTACACTGATAAAAGGAAAATAATGTAACAAAGTTTGTTTCTGCTGCAGCAGATCTAGTAGAAAATAGTGTTATAATCCATCTTAAGTAAGTTCAGTAATGATTCATTTTTGTTGTAAAAATGTTATTAATTTAGTCCATTTATAAATATAGCCGCTCTGAAGAAAATGATGTCATTATCCAGCTCAGTTCAGTTCTCATATATTGGTGTCAATGCAGGCAGATCAATAATATTGTTGAATAGTAAGTGTCCCCAACTAAGCAAACCAAAAGCCAAAGGTGATGGTGTCAAAGAACCAAATCTCCATCAGGTGACAGAAGGGGGAGAAAAAAATGCTCATAACCTGTAGGAATGATGTTGCTGAGCATACTTCTTCTATACATGAATTTCCACCTCCAGCCACATACATACTCTAACAAAAGCAGACTTTAAGGGTAATGAAGCAAGAGTTGTCTTCCGTGACTATCCCTGCCTACATACAGTACACAAACAAAAGGCAGACTACTGTGCACTCTGCTGTTCACACGTGCATCTCATGCATGATCGATTGATTTCTTTTTTTTTTTGCCTGCGCACACACACAAACTTGAATACTGAAATAGACAACCAAAGATGTGCAAAGTGACAATCAATTTTGGACCAATTTCACACTAGACAACACACTAGGCAACCAAGTGCTACCAGAGTGAGTTTAGGGAGGGGGAGCTTCACAAGAAGGCTGACCTCATGAATATTAATTAGCTAATACTGATGATCCACACTGATTTAATATAAGACGCAATATCAAGCCAGTTTCAAGTTTCATCTTTAAAATGTCAAAACTGAAATGTCACCAGTTTAACATCAAGATAAAAAGTTCAACATAGTGAAAATCAACTACATATTCATTTAAAAATGTAAAACTGTCAATAGTTGTTGATTACATGTTACTCTACATGCTATCCTATAATCACTGTAATTTGTGACATTCAGAGTTTTTCCGCTCAGTTCATGAGCACAAATGAAAGTGTCAAATTTTATGCAATAACTTAATTCTCAAAACGAGCAGAATACACAAACTCAAATATAAACTGACTTTAGTAGGTTTGATGCATCAAGATTTAGCACAGCACATTCGTTGATTTCTCCATCTACTCATTACTGTCAATGTTCGTCTCTGAATAAGCACATTCTGACTATCCGCTCTGGTAATTTACAAATGGATAGATCTGCCTTTTTAACCGAAACAATTGCAAATTATCAGATGTGCTATAAATGCAAGACATACATATTTTTATATCAGCTGACTATGTTCGGTTGAGTGGGTTAAAGTCTTGGCGCCCTGAGTAACGCTACAGAAATAGAAACCAAGCAACCGTTAAAATACGCTGTTGTTCCTTGTGGTCACAGCTGGTAAAGACAAAACTGGGATTTACATGGAAGAGCTCTTTGTTAATCAACTAGATGTTTTTTTCTCCATATTTACTACCTCCTCATCCATCGGTCCATCTCAGCGTGGGTCAGAGAAGCCGATGTCTTTATCTCCCTTGTGATCTCTCTTTTACACCTCTCACGCTTGCGGCACTCCCCGCTTGGTCTCCTTTCTCTCTGCACTCCATGAAACCTTTTATTCAGACCAGCTCCAGCCCTCTCAAAATGATGCTCTCCTGCTGTAATACGACAAGAGAGAGAGGTGAAATCCTCAATCTCATAACTTCTAATAAGTGTGTTCCAAGGTCATCCTTCTCATAAAGCCTCCATCGTAACCCCACCCCCCATCGAGCCGGGATGAAGACAGACCATCTAATAGCGAAAGACAGCTGTGTCTAAGAGTGGATGAGCGAGAAAAAGGGGAAAAAAGAAGGAGAGGGTAATTATCCGAAGTGCAGTTCTTTGCTCTTTTCAGTGGAGCAAAAAAAACGCAGTTTATGAGGGCCCTCCTGCTGAAATAAGCTGATGATGTATATGTTTACAAGAGGTTTTTTAGACGAGAAAAAGGAAGTGAGAAAAAGATGTCTGCGGTGGTTTACGATGAGTTTATATTCTTTGGCAAGATGCCAGTGTCAGGTTCAGGGACATCAGCTAATGCAGGAAATGAAAGATCAACAGAGCTACGTTTTACCGGCTAAAAAAAAAAAATAATCAAAAAAGAATTGGAGTTTCAATCCAGTCATAACTTCCACACCCTCATCATTTTGTTGCACACACACACTTCTCCATGGCACTTCTCCGTTTCTCAGCAAAACTCCGGCTTTGCCTTCCTGTCGAGGTGTGATGAGAGAAATCCCACTGAGGGCGAGAAGAGCGTAGCCTTGTGCTGTGAGATACGTGTATACACACACACACACACACACACACACTTCGCAGCAGACAGGGTGTTGATAGATCTGACATCTGGAGCTGCTTGACAGGGCAAGAAAAAAACTAAAAGAAAAGAGGAGAGGAAAAGAAAAGAAAAGAAGCGAAGAGAGGAGAGGGAAGAGTCTGCCAGGGTTCCATGACTTTTGCCTTCTCCATTTAAGTGGATTTGAGGAGATTACAGCGGAGTGTTTAGCATGTTTAGCTCAGCATTTGTAGCAGTGTAACCGCCTGTGATGGCTCTGCTGCCCAAATGTCAGAACTAATGAAAATATGAGATGGAAACGCTGCTTCAACCATTAATGGGAACAGATTAAATTGACGTGAGCATTAAAAGGGCAGGGAGATAGAAACATCTCCCTATCTTGGATTAAAACTGAACTGTAGCGGGAAAGAGCGAAGACGGACAAAAAAAATCGTGGCGTCGACAAGAAAATTCAGTTTATTAATAGATTTGTTCATCTAAACATGAACATTTTGTCATCATTTTCTCACCCGCATGTCGATTCAACCCTTATGGCTTTCTTCTGTGGAACACAAAAGGAGACATTTTTAAGAAAGTACTGGTTGTTCCAATACAGTTCCAAAAAAGTATCATAAAATAATTCATATGACTTGAAGTATTTACTTAGACATGCGATCAGCTAAGGACAAATGGGAAAAGAAAATCTTTTTTTCTCCATAAAAATAGTTATATTAATAAAAAATAGTTTATTTATATCATAAAAATAAAATCAATAAAGAAATATATTACAATTGCTAATACTGTTGTACTGCAAAATAAAATAAAATTATAAAATACTAACATTTATGGCTTTATGGATTTCGTTGCTTTCAAACGTTAATTTATAAGGGTTACACTGTGGAGGAAAACTGCTAAGGGACCTTAAAGCATTATAAATTATTCTCATTTCAAATTTAGGAAGATATAAATGCATGAAATACATGCAAAACTAAAAATTCAGCAACAGAATAAATCACATGATATTCAAAGTCTTCTAAAGACATATGACAGCTTTGTGTCGTGAACGAACTGAAATTTAATTAATTATGTGCTGAAAATCTTGCGGTACGCTTATAAGGGTAGAAATGTTTGAATCATGAACGAATCAGTCTTTTGAGTTGGATCTTTTCATTGAATCACTTCAATAATAATAAATTATATTTGTATGAATATGGACTATGATATTATGAGTAAATAATTTTGGCGAGAACTATCCTTTTAGATACAATTATCATTATGATAATCCAGCATGAGCCACAGCACTGAAGTTTCCCACAAGGATTCGCATTTGTGAAATGTTCAGTGACATTATGGTATATTCAATTTGCCAACGCCTTCATTTGATTGAGAGAGTGCATTGGGTGAAAACTGTATAATGTGAGTCAGAAAAAAGCGAGACTGGGATGTGAAGTTGAAAACAAGCACTGTGTGTTTTAGAGTGTGGCAGACTCTGTCCAAGGTGCTGCCGAGTTTGACAAGTCGAGAGAGGTGAGAATGTGCCGTGTGAGTGTGTGAGCGATAGATGGAGAGAGTATGAAGGAAGGAGTGCTGTCCAAGGTGCTAGTAAGCGCAGCGCGCTGATATTAGAGCGTGTGAGGAATGCGAGGGTGAGAGGGAGCTATAGATGGATTGGCTCTCACTCTAGGCACAAACAGAAGGTTCCAAAGTGTTATTCAGCACAGATGACAGCCAGCCTTCTCTCACACACACAAGCTCTTCCATCATGTGTGTTTTCTGAAAACAAATTAGCCTTTATCATTTACTGCTGTGTGCTCTAAGTGAGGTTTATGAACCTTATTCTAAATCTGTACAACTGTAGAGAAGAAATTGAAACTGTCCAATTATGTGTAATTAAATCCATGCTTGAATATTTTTGATTTACTGTTGACATTGGTAACGTTACTTCAGTTTATTTAAAAGGTTAAGAGCCATCCTCAGAAATATAACATGGTCACGTATGTGGTGGTTATGACATCATTGTGTTTCTAGATTTGGTAACACTTTACAATAAGGTTCTATACATTAACATTAGGTAATGCTGTAAAAAAAGTTTCTCTATATATATTCTAATTTTATTTCAAGTTGTTTAAACATGAATTATTGAGATATATATATAAATATATATATATTTATACTTAATAAAGGCTGTGAAAAAATATGCTATATTTCTTTTAGTTCTTATTTATGACTGATTTTAGGACTGCAAACTCCATCAAAACTTCTTTCAAAATCGACCACAATTATGCCTGTAGTTAAAGGGTTCATGAACTTCAACCATTGCACTCTCTTCAGAAATGGGGTTAGAGGTGGTGCACATTAATATTGAATTTTCATTTCCATTCCTCCTTTGAGACATTTGCAAAGCTCTTTGGATGTCATGTGTATATCCCTTATCTGTGAATTAGTATGAATCCCTTGCAGCAAATTGTGCCTTTGAAAATATTATAAGTTGAAAGGATTCTCCATTGTTCTTAAGTGGGGGATTTTGGGGCATTATCTTTCTGAAGTCTCTAGCTGTTCCAGGTCAATGGAAGAATACAGACCACCAACACAGTGTGATACAGAACAGGTGCACAGATGACCTCTGGCATCTGAATGCTGTATATTGCCAATGCAAGACGTTGGCTATAAATTGCCTAAACAGATATCCTCCAAAAGTAATAGTGAAATGAAATGTTCAACAAGCACATATGGAAGTGGAGTTGACCACATCAACCAATATAGTTTGATAAGTGCAATGTATTTTTTTGTCTTACAGGTGTCGTATGCACGGCCCAGCTCGGCTTCTATCCGTGACGCCAATCTGTACGTGAGTGGGCTGCCCAAAACCATGACCCAGAAGGAGCTGGAACAGCTTTTCTCTCAGTACGGACGGATAATCACCTCCCGCATTCTCGTCGACCAGGTCACAGGTATCAGTGGGGCCGCTTTTCTCTCACCCTGTAGCATGCAAACAAACAAACAAACAAACAAAGCTCTTAAATCACATAAAACAATCGCACAATCTACTAAAAGCCTCTTGAATACATTCAGTACAAATAAAGCCAAAATGTAAAGAATTCTGCATTACTTTAAGTAATTTGTTGGCTCTATGTCATAGAATAAACCAGACTAAGATGGCATTATCTAGTCTGAATTCACACAAAAAAAATAGTGCAATTTTAGCTTTAACATGACATTTAAAAATCAGACTTTTTGCTTCAGTCCGACTGAAATAGAACTTCTAAAGTGCATGTAAATGCACTTAACATGTACTGAAACTACACAAAAAAACTCAATTTTGTAGCCAACTTCTGTGTGTACATTTATATGCAGGTTTGGTTGGTTGTTTGCATTTGATCATGACCAAGCATCCTAATCTTAAGGATGATCGAATGACATGGAATGACTGATGAGTGTATTTTAAAGCATCCAGCCATCTCCTTGGCCTATCCTTCCTCCAGCATCATGAATAAATCAAACTTGGATATAAATGGTCATGGAGCTGAATTTCTTACACATTCAATATTTTTCCAACTGCATAATTCATATCGGCACTTTCCATGCAAACAATATCGCGTTAGGCACAGGAAAATGTACACCACGTTCTAGTGGTGCAGAACCCTTTCGGAAGAACTGCCGAGGAATGCTGCATGTACACACACATGGGCCTTCCTCTCTTGACACAGATCCTTCCTCTGGCCCTATGAAGGCTCCCCCGGAGAAAAGGGTCCGCATGAGGGAGCTTGATGATTAATTAAACTGGAGTTGCTAGTGACTTTTTTCTTTCTTTTTTTGAAGCTACTAATCGGAGAGCTGCCATAAAGAGATATTAGCAAATATTACAATTCTTCTGAAAAGCCTTGAAAGCCAAACAGGGATTCTGCATTTGTCAATAAGTGTGGAAGTCAAAAGGGGCTTGTTACTCAAAAGCAGTTCATAGTTTAAATCTCACATGAATGTTGAAAATTGAGATTAACTCACTGGCTACATGGGCCACTGTTTTTATGACAGAATCAAAAAGCACAATCATTGGAACATCATGCCAAGCCCCACATTAGCACCACCACACAGAATATCAAAATATTGATTTCATGCAAGTGAAATATAAAAAACGGTTTCTTGTCAACCTACTCATTTACAGCATGGAATATAGAAAAAAAAATATACATACCTAAAAGCTAGCATAATGTCAATAAAGATTGTTCATGCACACACACATTTCAACATCTGCCAAATGCTTTTTTAAGGCAAATCTAATTCTGTCATATTCCTCTCAGCATCAAGAAAAATACAATATCGTGAAATAACACTGAAAGTCATTAATAAAAACAAACACATATGGCATGGTAAACTAACAGTGGCTTTGCCTTTCTGAAATAATAACACATCATACATCCTTGTCAAAAGTTTATTGGTAACAATTAGGGAAGCGTTTTCTCTGTTCACCCTCACAGAGAGGATAATGTATTGCTGTGGAAGTCCTCTTCCCACATGTCTTGTTTATATAACTTGTTCCCTATGGTTGTGTCTGTTTGTTTTCAGTTTATTGGTAAAACGTGACTAAATTATAGGGATTTGAAAAAGCTTCTGAGCATCCATGCCAGGACTACTTACTTACACATAGCATGTAACCTAAGTGAAGTATGAAAGGTTTTTTGATCAATAGTCAAATATTCAGAGCCTGTTCCATCAATGAGAGCAAATACAATTGATCCAAAACGGCGGCTCCAACAAGCTGCGCCTCTTAAGTGAAAACCTACTGCCTTGACTGAGCTACTTGTGGAAATCCCTCTTTTAAACGGCTACGCTTTCTCCTCTTCCGTCTCCTTTTCTTTTCACGCTCATTGATATTTTCCCATGACTTGAATCCCATTAGCTATAGCATGACGTAAGGAAGGGTTAGAAGCACGACGTCCACGTGCATTTGAGCCAACGTTGCACGACGAGTTTCCAAATCAAGGCCTGTAGAACACAAAGGATCCGTGATGTATACAATGAATCGAGATGTTCCACCAGACATTGCAAAGCATGCCATGACACCGCTGCCTTGGCCTCTAATTACACAAGGACAAACAGATGGATTTATAGCCGTGAGCCGGCAGAAACAGACAAAGTGCTGAAAGAGTCTTCAAAGACTTCCTTTACCGAGCCTTTTCAAACACCATCTGTAGCGGCAGCAACTAAAAGTTACATAAAACGAGGATGCTGCTCTCCTTTCTCTGATTAGGCAGAGGCTACGGCGGAGAGGTGTACGCTTTTTTTCTCCTCATAATATATTTAGCGCACTAGTTTAATAAATGTTCCATATAGTTGGCACAACCACTTAAAAGTGAAAGAATGAGAGACAACGGAGAGGTGCTTATGTTCAGACAGAGGAGAGAAGGCTTTCATTAACAGCCAAGCTTTTCTGAGCTTTCTCTTTTTCCCCAGAGGACTCTCTCTCTCTCTCTCTCTCTCGCAGTAAGTGTCGAGGACCAGAACAGTGGGCGTGCAGTGGAAAGCGCTTTGTCAGGCCGGCTATAGCGGTCTCCTGCCACTGTTTCTTGTGCGCTCGCTCTGTGTGTCACGGTTATTATTAAACTCAGCATTCTCCAGCTTCATGTGTGCTGAGCTGAGATAAGTACAGGTAGAAAGTTACGTAAGCTAGGACTGATTACTGGGGAGAATAGTGCTGTTAACCGGCACATTGTAGCTGTAACTCTGTTCGGTTCATGATAAGCGCTAAAAAAGAGCTAGCAGTGCCAGTGTCTCCGGTTTTAGCCCGGCCGCTCGCTTTGTTTAGGCAGCCTGTTATGGAAGCGGCTGCAGGCTCATTATGGTAATGTCAGAGAAGCGAGAGAAAAAGAAAAAAGTAAAGCACAGTCAACATTAAGGCTACCATTTGCATTTTTTAACTGTTAAATTGCTAGTGTATTTTACGGACCCGCAATTTTAGCGATTCTGCAGGCATCTGATAGATCGTCAGCCGTTTGCAGCCTGAATGACATTGGTCAGCACTATTTCTACCCGAGGAAACCGAGATCCCATCACGATTTCATTATAGTTGTGTTAGAGCACAGTGCTGAAACCCTCTGGATTGAATCATACTACAGATTACCTGCCCTACGGCCCTACATTGTTTTTTTTTAAGGTATGGTACAAAACAGACTTGCAGAGGACAAAAGGACATTACATTTACAACATTAATGCACTGTTTAATAGCCATCAGTCCCATAATTCATAATGCTACGTAGAGTTGTGCAAAATTCTGAATTTAAGAATTGGCTCCCATTCAATTAATGAGTTGGATGTGCCACATCAGAAATTTGAATTGGAATAACAGGAAGAATTGCATGAATTGCAACTGAAATAAATTCAAAATGTGGTAGGTATTCTGGGAAAAGAAGTTTTCATGGTGGGCGAATATGAAATTAATTGCAATTTTTATAAGAAATATATATTGCTTATAAATATTTGTTTTTAAAGTTTATATGATATCGTAGGCATGATTTAATGGTAAACATTCCAACATGCTACGTTGTTGTTGCATAACCTCATTAAATTAAGTGTGATTGGTGTCCAGTTTGGAAATGAAAATAGTTACTTTAATTTTTGTATTCAATTTTGTATAGAAATGATATTTTTTTTAAATTACTTCTGGATCATCCATTTCAATGCAATGGAAGCCAAGACACCATTACATTGTGTCTTGTACTGCATATTTTTTTGATAAATCATTAGGGTATTACAAGCATACAGAAAATTGGCATACTGTGCATAGTATATACTCCAGAAATAAAGTAGTATGCTTGAATGAGTTTACAGTATAATAGTTCTGGTAGGGCTTGACCTTTTACCTCTGGTTCTGTGTAAAGCAATGACAAACAGTGATTTGTGTAGTATGAGTCACCATAACATCAGATCTAATAAGCTAAAACAAATTCAAGAGAGCTTTAAAGCAAGTATTTAGTGACCACAATACTTATTTCTAGGAAGAAAAGTAGGCATATGCTTTATAACAAAAAATTACTGTAGTTTTTATTTATTCCACCAACCGTCGAACCGTGCATTGTGAGATTTGTGAAAGATAAATCTCTGCTGCCTTCAAAAGCATTTAAGGCATTATATTATAGACAGGTTGTTTTGATGCCTTCCCCTCCCCACTTTCGATCTCAGACGGTGTTTGTGTACTACAATCTAAACGAGCAAAAGCAGATAGCATATAGTTTATGTCAGATCCATCAGTTCATTCCTGCACAATTAAACTGACAGACGGAAGCAAAAAGTCGTCTAGTTTTGGATCAAAATTTTATGAAACGGAATGTGTAATCTCTTGTATTTTTAGATACTTGAGCTGTTGCATGTCAAATATCTTCTAGACAGAGAGAGGAACAGAGAGAGGAGGTGTCATTCCCAGTTTCCTCTGTCTGCTCCACTTTCGAAGGATTCTGCTTTGACCTCAACATCACTCCACGGTGAGCACGAAGCTAACCGTGCATCCTAAACTCTCTGGAATAATGCATGCTTTTCCTTCCTCGAGCCTTTACTTCTGACGCTCTAATTAAAGAGAGTAGGTTTTTGGAAGGGAGAGGGAAAAGTGAAAAGCTGTCAGGAATGACTCATGCTGCGAGGGAAAGAGAGTAATGCAGCCGCAGTCTGAATGAAAGCTCGCTGCATTGAAAAGATTGTGTGCAAATATTTGTTTGCAGAATGGAACGTATCAAAAGACACTGATTTGAATAGACAATCAGGCAGCCCAACAGAAAACATCAATACTAGCGGGTGACAGCTGAGAGAGTGAGAGGAGAACGAACTGACAATATAGAAAGCAGAGCGCAGACAGACACACACACACACACACACACACAAATACGTGTTCATTGTATTATGCAAATTGCCCTCTTGGCAAGTCGTCTCCACACGCACCTCCCCGGAGTAGAAGGATCGTCTCATTAAAAACCAACCCAACAAAAGACCTCCCAGTAAGCCGGGCTCTTTTAAATGTTACTTTCAGGTAGCGGTCAAAACCATCACCTTGGAAACCATGGAAATGTCGCCGACACGCCGCATACCACGAGGCGGCGTGTGGCCGTCAGCTGGCGCAAACCACACAGCGTGAGGCCGTCGCACACACACGCTCAATTTCCACACCAGCGGGCGACAGCCTCCACACAATATCGTCATCCTCTCATGAAGAAAAGAAAACAAATTACACGTCTGCCTGACAGCACTGGAATGCCGGCCGGCCAATAGAATCTCCCTGCTCCATCTCGCCTCGTTTGCATAATGTGACACCAGCAATAGGATCCGTCACACAGGCAGCATATCTCTGAAAATGATTCGCCGTCGACAAATGACAATCTCTAAATATAGAAATGCATCATTGCGAACTAAGGTGTGTGAGTCAGGATGTGCATGTCACATTTCCGGGGTTCTCAGAAGCGAAAGTCAAACTTATCTTTTGATAAACGGAACTTAGAAGAAACATTTTTTTATTTTTGCATTCCCATTTTGTTCTTAGAACTTTCCAAAAGAGGAAAGAGATTGATTACACTGGTCAGAAGAGAGAAACACTGTCACAGCAGCATTAGTAATTTTTAAAAAATGAAAAAAAAAAAAATCTAGATTTACTAGGTCTGTGTTGCCGTTGCAGGCCGGATAAAGCCAGTAAACGTATGGTGTGTTGTTTCTGGTGTGCTGGCCCCACAGGTGGCTCGCGGGGTGTGGGCTTTATTCGCTTTGATAAGAGGATAGAAGCGGAGGAAGCCATCAAGGGTCTGAATGGACAGAAGCCTTCAGGTGCCGCCGAGCCCATTACGGTGAAGTTTGCCAACAACCCAAGCCAGAAGACCAGCCAGGCATTACTGTCGCAGCTGTACCAATCCCCCAACCGGCGCTACCCAGGACCCCTTCACCACCAAGCGCAGAGGTTCAGGTAAATACAGTCAAGCCTGCAATAACAATCTGTGTCTCTTTCGTAACTTTCTTTCAAAATTGGTGGAACAGAACAGCAAAATAGGTGTCTGGATTATGAAACTGTTACCTGTTGAGCTGAAGTTGTGTGTGTCACGTCACCACCGAGGAATAGCTGCTCCAAAAAAATCTGCAGAAACAAAATGAAATTCAGAAAAGAAACAGAAGCAAAGGACTGATAAGAGACAGTGGGGTTCTGTCATTCACAATGTCCCTCTGATTTCTTTTTCTCATCTGCCATCCTCCCCTTCTTTCATTTCACATCTGTTCCTTTCATTTCAGTTCAGCAGGCCGGCAATAACTTCACTCTGGCAGCTAACACCTTTACAGCTTTGGGCAGCGCTTCTCAACCTTTTTAAAAGCGATGTGAAGTAAATTTTCTCTACACATAGTTAGTCACAGGGAACAATAACAACACCTTTTGACCCAGCCGTTGACTTGCTAGGTCTTTGTTTAAGATCTCTTTTCCTCAGAGGCTAATTCACATTAACTATGAGTCACGTCTTATGAGCTTCAAGCTGGCGAAGCCTGCCAAAACGGATGAGGCCATCTTGCAGTGAAAGCTTACTGCTGAAAAGTGGCGGATATCAACTCACAATCAAGCTGACATTTGATGTAGGATCAATAGTGATAGCTTTAGCCATTTAGCTTAGTGAAACTTAAAAGTTTGCATATACAATACACTACTTGGGCTTTTAGGACAAAATTAATACATTTTTCCAAAAATAAAAGCAGATTGAGACATATCTAGGTAGTAAGCTCTAGTTTTTTTCAATGCAATCTACAACATGTGTTTTGGAAGCAGTGTTTATAGGTGCATCACACTAGACTTAACATGCAAACTTAGTTTAAATATGGGCAACAGGATTTGATGTCATGTTCCAGGGCTCCTATACTGAAAAAAATATATATGAATGGTAAATAATAATATATTATTTTAAAAAAAAAATTTTCCCAACAGGGATGCATTCAATTAATCAAAAGTTACAGTAAAGAAATGTATATAATGCTACAAAAGAATTCTTGGTTACACTTTATTTGGTGTCCTTGTTACAGTGTAATTCTACATTTAAGTACCGAGTCATTTTAATTAACTACATGTACTTATTATAGGGTAGGATTAGGAATAGGGTTTGGTTTTGGTTTGCATGCAATTATGCATATATCACTGTTATTATTACAGTAAGTACAAGTAACATGGTAAGCATAAGAGACTTCTTTCAAAACATAAAATTGTACTGACCCCAAACTAGAGTAAATCAATAACATAATATAATATATATTAATCAACTGGAAATGTTAAATTATCTACACTTTTTTTTTTACAAAAAAAAAAAATCTAAAGAGCTTGCCATACATTAGTATTTTTTATAGTAAGTGAACATGTTTTTTAGCTTCTTTTGGTCAAACACCTTTTCACTATACAAATACCAAACTGCTACATTTACGCATATGAATGGAAGTTGACGTGTGCAGCTCATGAGAACCATTCAAAACATTTAATAATTCAATTTGATCACAAATAAAAAATTATTTGTATGAGTTACAGTTACAATCTCCTCTAGATGCATGAACTGTCAGTGTGATGTTTGCACTAAAGCAAAGATCCTTTGTTTAGACAAACAGGACTCATCAAGCAATTAGCACTGCACGGCAATACTGATGACAGAAATCAGTAATGAATTCTTTCTACATCACAAGCATTTATTATTGAAGAGATCTGAAAAGGATGAGTCCCATTTGCATGCATTAGTCGGCCTTACAAAGGCTTCATTGTGTTGTGTGTGTGTTTGGAGAGGAAGTGTGAAAAGCTGTAGGACGGACCGAACCGGGTGGAGACACTCCTGCATATTTCTAACACGTCGCCTGCTCTTGCACCTCAGAGCCCTCTCTCTCCAATTAACTCATTTACCCACAAAGCAACCTGCCTCCTAATTGGCTAATTGGCATCTTAATGACTCGATACACTGAATGTCCTCCCTTTAGTTTGGCTGCGTTTTTTCTCCAAGTTCACAGAAGGCAGAGTCACCAACTGTTGACCCACCACGGGGAAGGAGGGGGAGCATGTGTACGTGTGTGTTTGTCAGGGGAACTTCAGTTTGAAATGTGAGAAAGCAGTAATTAGCCTTGCCAGCCATCTTGCTACAGCTTTAATAGGAAATGAGACAGGGCCGAGCCAAGAGAGGGACGGAGGTCGCAGAGTAGCCAAACAGACAGGAGCCCAAAATGAGAATGACTGACGGGGAAGGAAAACTCAATATACCGGCCCGGTGGGTCACTGGGGCTAATAGAGAGACCGCAAAAGAAAGTGACAGCAAGTGGAAGAAAGGGCACTCCCAGTTAATGCGGCATTACATCCTGCCTCCAACTTCATTGAAATGTCATTTTATATTAAAGTTTTCAGATAGCTGAAAGATGGCCCCAGACCAATTTCATCCATAACACTAGCATATTATCCGCACGTGTTTTGCCACTAAGATTCATTTTTAATATGGAATTTTTAATATCTGTTTGTATGATTGATTTATTTCTCTTTTGAGTTTTGTTTTCAATTTGCTCATATTCCTCTAAATCATTCTTTAAATGTCACTATAAAAATACATCACAGCATTGCAATATAGAATCAAAATATAGATAGACATTCTTTTCAATGACAAAAGTCATTCAAACATATTTCGAAAAGTACAAATTTCTACATTACAATTATGTTTAATTGTTATATATAATTAAACATAATACATCATTAGAAAAAAATATTATAATTTTAATTCAACCCCCATCCCACATCGTTTGAGGAAAACAGCTTATAAATCATACAAGGTGATGTTTTTTTGGAAAAATGTATGTCCCAAAACATGAAAACCCAACGTGTGTGTGTATGAGAGAGAGAGAGAGAGAGAGAGTAAGAGAGATGAAAACAATAATACATGGCCCAATTTACCTGAATAAATTTACGCTCCTGTTTTTGAGGTGTGCCTTCCGGATTCAAGGGCTGAAGCTGTACCCCAGTCCAGCTCCGGATTATTTCCTGCCGACAAAACAAAATTAAATATATTCCCAAAGCATCAAGTTCATATCATATCATATTACAAAATATACACACACACACACACCAATAAATGGTAGTACATTCAAAATCATGTTATAATTCAACTCCCCTCCCCACATTGTTAAAAAAAAAAAATCTAAATTAGTGCATGCAAGTCAACCTATGAGATTTTTTATACGTTATGATGAAGTATACAATACAATCAAATGATGTAGTGACTAATATTTCAGGACTGCAGCTCTGTTAAACTAAACGGGTGGGCATCCAAGTGGCCTCCTGTTAGCATTAGTGCTGCTGCAAGTCTGCTGCTCTTTGGATGTATGATTGACTCTGTGAGATGCCTGATGGGGCAGCACAGTGTAATGGCCCATCACTAGATGGGCGTCTTCCTTCAGTGAGGCAGGGATGTAGCATTAGTTCCACTGAGTGAGTCAACCATCTGCCTGGCATTAACCCCAGAACCCTCCTTCTCTTTACAGGCTGGACAATTTGCTTAATATGGCCTATGGCGTTAAGAGGTAATTAAAACTTCACCGAATGCCAGATGTCCATGTTGACAGTATGATTTCTATCCTGTTTTTTCCCTTCTTTTTGAAAATCACATGCATTCAGTTCAGTTCAAGGTTCTTCCTTTCCCTTTAGTTCTTTTGCTTTACCTCCTTTTTTTATTTTTGATTTCAATCTACCAGTCAGTAGCCCTTAAAAGTAAGTGTAAGTATCTTTTATAATTTGTAGTGTTTGATCATGACTTTTTTATGAGTTCCGTTTTGGTATTTTGTGTTTTATTGTGTGTAGCTCCTGTTTTGAGGCGTGGCTTCCACAGGATTCAGGGGCTGAAGCCGTACCTCCGTCCAGCTCGGGGTTACACACTGCCAACAATTGGACAAAATTATGGATATTCCCAATGCATTAACAGTCTAACAGCTAAAAGGCATGAGATAGAAGGTTCTTTGTTTTAATTGTTGGATTGAGCTGGTCCAGAGCGAGACGGAGGGGGTGACAGCTCACCTGGATCCCTGCAGGAAATGTAGTGTTTCACTGCAGGTTTAGGAGCCTCTGATCAGTTGGGTTTGCTCATGTTCTTTTTGCTTTGTGCTGCTGTGGATGTAGTGAAAAGGCTTCTTTTGAACATGTTTTAGTGCTTATGACATTTTGTTGCATATTTTAGTATCTATTGAAACACTTTGATGTCCCTCGAACACCAAAGACTTAAGGCTAAGATGGAGGGAGTAGCATGAAAGGTTGCGCATTGTGCAAGTTTCTTTCTTTCTTTCTTTCTTTTTTAAAGATAGCTCTCTGTAAAGACTAAAGGCTCCGTGTTTACTAGATTTCTTCTTTTTCTAGAAAAGTCTGTTGTGTTTCAGCGCTGGCTGATCAGAATGAATCATTCTAACGATTGTAATGAAAAAGAAAAAGCCTGACAAGTAACAGGAAGTGCAACAATAAAACAGTATATGCAAAAGAGATCTTTCAAAACAAATGACGAGGCGAAAGATTCCGTTTTATTCATTTACATTCGGTGCGATCGGCTGTCAAATAAGCCCGTCTGCCGCGAGAGAGGGAAAATTTAGGGGAGGCGTCGTGCTCACATAGCTTGCTGTAGAAGGTAATTAACGAACAAAGCCCAGTCTGAAGAAGTGAGCATCACTAGGTGAAGGTGGGCAGCTTGGAAGGGTGGGATGGCTCTAGGTCAGCCGCTTGTTGCTATGCAACTCCTCGTCCAACTGTTCGTCTTAGTTCGACCAACGGACAGCTCTCGGCCCTGCCCTGGTAGTCACCAGACACCTTTGTGTCAGCAATACGCTAGTCCGACCCTCACCCGCTTGCCTGCAGATGACTGGCATCCAAATTACCATGACGGTTTATTCGATGAATAATGGCACCGGATTCATTATTTACACAGAAATACCAGCGTAATTGAAGTCATGAGATGGTTGCTTGTCACACGGTGCAAAGTGAGCCGACTTACCATTATACCCTTCATTAACATAATGAGACGCAAGCGACAGAACACAAAAGCGAAAGAGGGAGACAGATGTATCGACTCTGCCAGGACGAACAGGCTAAAACGCAGATGAAACGTCTGAGTAATTCTTGGCAGAACAAGAAGCAGGGAATTGGCCGGCCCTGTAGTCCGTGCAGTGCTATCGATCACAGTCACACACTGCGGAGCGGCAGAGGGTGTGGGTGGAATACACTCTGTTCCCCCGTGCTAGCTGGCTGAAAAGCACCGCTTCCATTTTCTGCTCGCTGGCAGCTTCCTATCCCCCTCCCCAAACCTTACGGATTCGAGCACGGCGGCAGCAAAGCGGAAATCTCAATTAAAGCACACCCAATAATGCCTATAGTCATTCCTTGAGAGGTGGCACACAAAATGAACCTTTTATCCAATTTACCTTTTATTTAAAGTGGAAATTTCCTTTAAGCGGAAAGGCAATTAAGTGAAATCAACTGAGCATTCAAATCTCTGTATCATGAGGGAGGGGGAAAAAAAGGAAGAATGGAAAGATTACAAGGAGAATGAGAGCAGATTTACTCGGTTGCATGTGAAATCTCTGATGAATTTCGAAGGTATTAATGTGCAGAGTTCCTGTAATTTAGTTCCCCAATAGATCCGCGCAGGAAGAGCTCTGCATCCTGGCGCATGACACTTTTGCGCGGCCCCCCGCAGCCAGCACCGGAGCGCAGCCTATTCAAGTCTGCATTCAAAAACCCCTCTGGTTGCCTTCCGCCTGAAAAAAAGAGCAGCCGATATTTAGGCTCCAAAGTGATAGATTGAAAATATGTGGATTGCTAGCGTAACCCTTGAAGAATCAGTTTGGCTAGTGGCAGCGTGACTTACACATCTTCCTCACTCTCACTCACTCTCTCTCTCTCGTCCTGCAGGTTCTCCCCCATCACCATCGATAGCATGACCAGTCTAGTAGGGATGAATATCCCCGGTCACACAGGAACGGGCTGGTGCATCTTCGTCTACAACCTGTCCCCAGACTCGGACGAGAGCGTCCTGTGGCAGCTCTTCGGACCGTTCGGTGCCGTCAACAACGTCAAGGTGATCCGCGACTTCAACACCAACAAGTGCAAGGGGTTCGGATTCGTCACCATGACGAACTACGACGAAGCGGCCATGGCCATCGCCAGTCTGAACGGGTATCGGTTGGGTGACCGTGTCTTGCAAGTGTCTTTCAAGACCAACAAGACCCACAAGTCCTGAACTCCCCTCTCATCACTTGTGTAGCTCCTTACAGCTCCTCTAATACTAAAAACCCACCTCCGCCCACTCAGCTACTCAAAACAGGAACACACCCAACCAACAAACCCACAAAAAAAGAACTGGATATGGCTTATAATATAACTTTGGACCTATAAGCCAATGTTGCCTAAGTATTACAAAATGACAAATTGAGAATATTCATTATTTGGAGACCCTGGAAGTGGTACAGGGATTCTGTTGTATATCTTTTTGAGTTCTCGTGGTTGTCTTTCCTTTTTTTCTTTTTTTTTTCTCTGTAAACAGTAGCAAAACCAGACCGCCCTTATTTTGAAGAAGAAAATGTCCTTCTTTAGATCGAACTCTCTTGGTGTCGATTCAGGATTTTTTCTTTCTTTTTTAAATCCGGATCCACTGTCGTTAGAAAAACACCTCCCTGGTAAGAGAACGGGAGGGGGCTCTTTTTAAAAAAAGAAGAAGAAAAAAAATCAGTGATCATTCATTCATTTGTTTTGGTGTAAATTGTTAGAGAACCCCAAGGAATTGACAGGGATGAGGCCATCCCTTTTCTCTAATGCAGAAGATGTTTCTAGCATAGTTTTGGTTTTGTACTGCAAACAAAACACACGTCTGTCCTCACAGGGGATTCAGGGGGAAGGGGCGAGGGAAGGGATGGGCTAGCGCTCCTGATGACACGTTGCGTCAAAAAAAAAAAAAACTTCACACACACTGTTGCCAAAGAGAAAGTCTCTTTGCTTGAAAATGCGTTTAGAAAAAATGAAAAAATAAAGAGAAAGAAGATCTATTTTTATAAATAATGATTAAAATAATTATTGAAGAATTTTTACAAGAATCTGGATTTGAAAAAAGAGAAAAATATTTTGACTGGCTAATTAGGGACGGGGGGAGGGGTCAGGTGCCACCTTGTCTTGTTCGTTCTGCCGTGGTACTTTTTAGGATCCAAGGTTGTTTGTTTTTCGGGGAGAACCGGATTGGCGATGGAAGAATTTTGTAGATGGAAGAATTTATCAAGGGATGCAAATTCAGGCAGGTAATTTTTCATAGCAGTAATTATTCAACAGCGATACCCAATAGGAGAGGGAGAGGGGTCTTCCCAGGCCGACCACATCTTCACAGTCAAGAGCCCAAAGCAAGGCCACCCATCGTCCACTCATTTACTTTAGACCATCCGTGTTTGGGATATAAGTAATAAAGATACACACACACACACACACACTTCTTTCTCCATTCGGACGACATGTACATGGTTATGTTTAATTCGCTATGATTTCGTGATATCGCATTCGAGATGTACTTCCTTTAGCGATCAACAGTAGGTGCTATATTACATGGTTCACATATCTTAAATATCCAACTTTGTTGTTCTTCGTGTTGTTTAGAGAGAAAAAAAAGAAAACTTCGATGTTGGCATTATATTAAGCTGCTGTTTTTCTTCTTTCGTTGGCGTTTATTCTTTGGAAATCGTCGTCGTTGGCCAGGGTGTATGGTCTGGAGAAACCCCAGATGACCAATTTCGGGCCTTGATGACGTCGTTCCTTTGGCTTGCTTCCTTCTAGGTTATTTGCTGAGTGTACAGCGTTTGTCGAAATTCAGCGATAATTAGCTAGTTCTGTTAGTCTAGTATTCGTTTCCTCAAAGGATCTATTACGACTGTGTCTTTCTTTGTTGTGTACAAATAGATGATATATAGTCAACATTTTCTGTTCCAATATCTATATCTATCTGAGTTGTCACTGTTTTTCGTTTGGGATTGTCTTTTTTCATATGAAAACTTTATGAAGTGATGGTTCAGTTACTTAGAAAAACTTGTGAGGAATCCTGTTTAATATGTTGTCATGTCGCTTGTGAAGATAAAGAAAAAACGCAAAAAAACTACTGAAAAATTGGATCGATTTATTTGATTTACCGCCGCAGCAAAAGAAATCGAACAAAAAGCTTCTTGAGAAAAATCTGTATTTATTTATTGATCGATTGATTGATTGTCTCATTGATTAAATTATTTATTTATCTCGATTATTTATTTATTTACTTGTTCCTTTCTTATGTTGTCTGTGTTTTTGCGTGATTCTGGTACAGGGAGGGGGGGGGGGTCTTTCTGAGCAAAAGGGAACAAACGACTAGGGGAGACGCTCTTCCATTAGTCCTGTGCACTGAGAAATTTTAGTACGTTTGTGCTTTGTACCAATATATCAAAATTACAATATAAAAAATTTAAAAGTCAAAAACGAAAAAAATGTCAAGAGGGTTGGTGAGGCTCTTCCCTTATTAATAGAAACAGTTACTCGCTATGCATAACCTAGCCGATAGTTCAATTTGCTATTGCTTTTTTCTTGTCTTGTTAAACATAAATCTTTAAATCTTTTTCAATAAAGTTTAGTCTTAATAGAATGTTATAACAGTTGTTCTGGTTCAATATAACCTGTGATAAGTTTGTGTAGTTTTAAAAGCCACTTCCCGCCCTCCCTCCACACACTACCGTTGCTTTGTGATTAAACTTTATGCAAAAATGTGGGTCTGAAATGTAGTTTCTCATGGATCTCGACAGCGTTCATGTCAGGCTTTGCTGCCCTAATTTGATCGAGTGATCTGTGTCCATTGTTTTAGTATGATTCATCGACTCATCTGAACTGTAACCTTCATTTAAACCACATTGATACTCCAAAAAATACAAAAAACAAAAAAACAAAAAAAAAGCATTGACTCTGATTGTACTGGTTGAACAAAAATAGCTATAGCAGATAATATTTGATAGATGACACCTGTTATATATTTTCTAAGATATAGTCTATTTTGAGAGGTAAACTTCCTGAATGGAGAGCTCGGCTCTTGTTAAGACCGGTGTGAATGCTGGAGAACAAAAAAAGAAAAAAACAAAGTCACGTTCATGAGCAGTCTTACATTCCTCCACCTTTAATGCCATCCATCCTCCTCTGCTCCGTCTCTAAGGGGGCGGCGGCACGGCCCTTCTCAAACCCCGCTGCGGCTGGGAGTTTGAATTATGCAACGACCCCACTAGAATGTTGTTCTGATGTACAAACAAATTTCCTGCATTAAGTCCTCCTCTTTTGGTTAATGCCACCACCCTCCGCGTGTCTGAGCGTGGATGACTGCACGGGAGAGCGTCTAGGACGCGTGAGAGTTTGCGGGGGTGTTGGAAACGCAGGGCCGAGGCTCTATGGTGCGTGCCCATATCGCAGTGTCTCTCCCCCTGTAGCGCCTTATAGTGGCAGCCTGCCAATAGGAACCCATCAGCCAGTAGTGTAGGAGGGAAGGCAAAGTGAGGAACAAGGCTCTTGTCATAATTCATTTTCTCCTGAAATGTGTTTGTTTACTATCTGAAAAATCTATAAATCTTTAAAGACAAAAAAAGATGAAAAAAAAGAAAAAAAAAAGTTCACCGGACCAAGCTGGTCTCTCCTACTTACGTTATATTACTTATCTATCGATTATTGATTATTGTTACTATGATTAATATTATTCTCATTATCCTTATTCTTATTATGAATCAAATTACTGCGATGAATGACTTCATGTTATCCTTGCTAGTTTAGGTCATTTCTGAAACTGGAAACAAAATATGGAAAAAAATACTTGCTGTAAATGTTTTTTTCTTTTTCATAAAACTGTTGTGTTTGAATTATTTGTACTTTTGAATGTTGGGACAATAAAATAAGGTGTTGAAAGCTGTGTGCTGCAATGTCATGTTCAAAAAAAAAAAAAAAAAAAAGGTTTGCTCCTCACGTAACACAAGGTGATTTAACAAATAGCGACTTACTCCCGTAATATTTGAAATTAATGCAGGAAGTTTCATTTTCCTCAAGAACCCGAAGGCACCAAATGTCACATGAGCTGCAGCTTTTTGATAAGAGTTTGATCAGTTATCGCAATGAGCGTGAATGCCAGCGTTATTACTCGCACAATAGTTGAAATCCAGAAAGAGGCACGGAAACTTCCAGTGGGTTATTACATTAAGCATATCCTCTCACAGGCAGTAATACAAAACAGACAGATGTGATATAGTGAGACATGAGAGCACAGCGCCCCCTATGTCCTTCCTGGAGAATTAGCTTTCTCTCTTTCAAATTACAACAAGCATCTCTGCTTTAAAAAAACATGCACATGATGATTTGAAATTGTATTATGTAATAACAATTATAAGAACAATTTATTAAAAAGATGCGCACTCACGTAAGAGGGAGACTCCAGTCATATTAGTCTTCTCGAAAAAGTGTCCTCCTGTGTCCTGGTATTAATAAGACAATAATAAATAGTGTTTTATAATTCTTTCAGATCATGCTCAAGATATTTTTAAAGTACATCTAAATAGAACAAGCAAAATACTATAATAACAAAACACAATACAATCTAACAACACAAAAAATAATTCTATAAGGACAAAATAAAATGCCCAAACAAGCAGAAAATAAAAGAAAACAAGGAATTGAATTTGATTTGAGGTAGCAGACAAGATGCAGTATTACAATTCGAAAGTATCATTAAAATGAACTGAAAACCAAATAAACTGATTGCAATGCAAATGTAATTTTTAACAAGAAAAACTTTGAATGATGGCTTCACAAAGTCGTAAAGTTAAAGATGTCAATTATAAAGGTATTAAAGTCCTCATCAAAAGATGTTTGAAGCAACGTGGAAGAACACTTAATTCCCCAAAATTCAATTACCTGTTTTTACAAATTTCAATTCTTTGAATTCCAATTAACCTTCCAGGCCAATTTCAACTTCAAAATAGTCGAAAATGAAACAAATAGCGAGATAAACAGCTTTTGTTATAAAGCAGAAGCAGTTAGTAAACAAACGTCAAGCTTCCACGCCGAAATCGATTGGATGAAGAACCACACGAAGTGCATCTTTAACTAAAAGTGTGCAAACATATTTAATTCAATCATCACCCTTGAAACAAAAAGTACAGCCATAATAAAACAACAAACAACACTTTTTAAATAGCTTGCCTGCTGGGGCATTTATTGTGTTCAAAGGATTCATTAAAGTCCATTAGTATGGATGTGGGTGCTCTTACTCACCATATGGATGGTTGGCCTCGGTTTGTGTCTTGTGTTGCGTTGGGGTGGGCAGGGCTTAATGGTGGTCTATGTCCTTGGGGTGGGCAGTGCTTGATGTTGAGCTGAAGGGCGAAAGGGACGAGGCGAGGGTGTGATAAAGCCATCCGGTAGTTCCAATTCTCTTCACGCCGTTAAGAATTTAATGAGGCAAAAGCCCCATGAAAGTAGAGGATCGGCATCATGAGTCATCCGGCCTTCTCTAAAAATTCCTCTAGTACCCATAGTCTCCTAACAAAGGCTGGAGATCGGAGGCACCTGACACTGAATGGAACTGATGGGGCTGATAACTTCTTCACCCGGTGAGGTATCTGCTATGGCAGAGGCAGACATCCGCGCTTGATTGCCATCTTCCACAAACATCTGGCTCGAAGCCATATGTGACAAATTTGCATGTTATGCAATGCAAACTCAATCTCTCACAATCTGACATACATTTGCTCAAAAGACGAGGAGTCGCGTCATTCACCATGAAACAGAACATGAATGCATTCAACAGCTACACAGATCGCGCTTGACATGAACACACCTGTAGAGCAGGTATCCTTCATTCTTTAGTCAGTGCCAAAGACTGTAGAAAGGTACTCATATAATACTGATATATTTTGGACACTTAAGTCACGCTTACATTTTTTTACATGAATATCAAATTAAGTGGCATTTGCAAACAAATGATGCAGTTCCCACATCTATGTATATTGTGCTATGTATATTTTAAATAAATGGCTCTTGCTTTGATATCTTGTTGTATAAATGTATTTGCTTTATATATTTTTAAATGAATAATACAATATGGCAAAGAGTAGGCACAAATTTAATAAACATTTCACACAATATTTACTTTTTATGAAGGCCATTTCCTCAGAATAAAAAAAAAATTAAAAAGTAAATACTTTTTTATATTTTTTTAACTGAAACTTTACATTTTAAAATACCACAGCTGCATTTTTATTGCTCTTACGTTGCAGGGTGGTTTTTAATTAATATATACACTCACCGGCCACTTTATTAGGTACCCCATGTTAGTAACGGGTTGGATCCCCTTTTGCCTTCAGAACTGCCTCAATTCTTCGTGGCATAGATTCAACAAGGTGCTGGAAGCATTCCTCAGGGAGTTTGGTCCATATTGACATGATGGCATCACACAGTTGCCGCAGATTTGTCGGCTGCACATCCATGATGCGAATCTCCCGTTCCACCACATCCCAAAGATGCTCTATTGGATTGAGATCTGGTGACTGTGGAGGCCATTTGAGTACAGCGAACTCATTGTCATGTTCAAGAAACCAGTCTGAGATGATTCCAGCTTTATGACATGGCGCATTATCCTGCTAAAAGTAGCAATCAGAAGTTGGGTACATTGTGGTCATAAAGGGATGGACATGGTCAGCAACAATACTCAGGTAGGCTGTGGCGTTGCAACGATGCTCAATTGGTACCAAGGGGCCCAAAGAGTGCCAAGAAAATATTCCCCACACCATGACACCACCACCACCAGCCTGAACCGTTGATACAAGGCAGGATGGATCCATGCTTTCATGTTGTAGACGCCAAATTCTGACCCTACCATCCGAATGTCGCAGCAGAAATCGAGACTCATCAGACCAGGCAACGTTTTTCCAATCTTCTATTGTCCAATTTCGATGAGCTTGTGCAAATTGTAGCCTCAGTTTCCTGTTCTTAGCTGAAAGGAGTGGCATCCGGTGTGGTCTTCTGCTGCTGTAGCCCATCTGCCTCAAAGTTCGACGTACTGTGCGTTCAGAGATGCTCTTCTGCCCACCTTGGTTGTAACGGGTGGTTATTTGAGTCACTGTTGCCCTTCTATCAGCTTGAACCAGTCTGGCCATTCTCCTCTGACCTCTGGCATCAACAAGGCATTTCCGCCCACAGAACTGCCGCTCACTGGATGTTTTTTCTTTTTTGGACCATTCTCTGTAAACCCTAGAGATGGTTGTGCGTGAAAATCCCAGTAGATTAGCAGTTTCTGAAATACTCAGACCAGCCCTTCTGGCACCAACAATCATGCCACGTTCAAAGTCACTCAAATCACCTTTCTTCCCCATACTGATGCTCGGTTTGAACTGCAGGAGATTGTCTTGACCATGTCTACATGCCTAAATGCACTGAGTTGCCGCCATGTGATTGGCTGCTTAGAAATTAAGTGTTAACGAGCAGTTGGACAAGTGTACCTAATAAAGTGACCGGTGAGTGTATATATATATATGTATATATTTTTATTTTTTTTTATTTTTTTTTTATTAAACTTTTCTTAGTTTTATTTTTTTTTTTTTAACCAGCATGGAAAGGGAATTCCATACAAAATACACATAAAATATAATATATCTGTGTAAAAAAAACAAGCATAAAATGTGCATGTGTCAAAAGAGCCAAATATTACGTGATTAAATAGTCTGATCCATTTACTATAATAAAAAAATTAATTGAACTAAAATGTACAGTATATTCAATGAAAGAAAAATACCTTATACCACATATCAATCCACATATCACATATGTAAACACCCCATATCAATCACAAAGGCAACGTAGCGTTTAGTTGTGACTTTCTCCCCCCTCTCGATGTTGAGCACTCCATTAATTGTGCCATGAGGAAGAGCCGGGAAGCTGCAGCATTTCTGTGTTGGACAGTCTGTGGTTTGAGTTCCTCTCACAACCAGACACATATGGCCCGCTGGCTTTGCTCTCTCCGTCTTTCTGTCAGCCGGCGTGTGGCCGTTGGTCCCCCTGCTAGGCTCGGGGGTGAGAGGGAGAGATGGCAGTTTGGGTGGCAGGGCTCCCCTCTGGCCAGGGCCCAGGATCTGCTGCCTGTTTATTAGGACACAGACGGCATAGGTCTGCTCCACTCGCTCCAATCTTCAGCCTCCGACCAGTTGGCCCACCATCACCAAACTTAGCCTACTTATCTATCTTTCTCTTTCAAACACACACACACACTATTTGATCTCAGTTTTATAAACGTTGTACTCTTTCACTCTCCATTATAATTCTTTCTATTATTAAAACAAACAAACAATGATGGTAATTTTGATAGTAGACTAATAGTTTTACATCATCACACCACAGGCCCCGCCCACTGGAATTTAGTGTCGTGTCGAAAGCAAATAGAACGGTTCTATTTGAAGAATAGCCCACTACCCTTTATATATAACATCTTTGGTTTAAATGAGAACAAAAACTATACAAGGGCGGATTAGAAAACAGAACTTCTGAATCGCTTAAAGGGTTATTTCATACAAAAATGAAAGTCGCCGCTCCAAACCTGTCAATCTTTCGCTCATCTTTGGAACACAAATGAAGAATCTGAAAAATTTCTGTCCCTCCATTGACAGCTACGCAACTGGCACATTGACTCTTCAAAAAGTTCATAAAGAGATGGTAAAACTAATTCGTTTGAATTGAGCGGTTTAGTCCAAATTTTCTGAAAAGAATTGATCGCTTTAGTCTTTTATTCACATATAGCCTGTGCAAACCTCATTGGTTCTCTCTCTTTGTGAAAGTGTCAGTTGCATATCTGTCAATGGAGGGACAGAAAGTCCTCAGATTTCATCAAAAAGATTAAATTGATGCTCAGAAGATGAAGGAAGTCTT